AATAATTCTATTTATATAAATCCTCTCAATTTCAATATTTTTCAATATTTTTATACTAAAGATATATATAGTTTGTCTAATAAGAATGTGATCGGTCTTGTAATAATGTCAAAATTTAATGTAATAAAAATGAAAAAATATACATACACTATTATATTATGACGCTTAATAAATCATTTCGTTGGTTGTCAATAATTGTTTAGCATGTTCGAAGTATACTTTCTATTACTTGACATTGTATTGTTAAGTCAAAAATCTCTATATCAAACGAATCTGTTAAATCAAATTTTTACTTATACTATATATTTTCTTTCCACAAAACATTAATATATATATTTACATATTTTTTGTAGGATTATTGGACGATTGATGACAGCAAGTCTAATATATTGATATCCATTTCTTATTTCTATATGCATAAAAATGGCTTCGATGTTGAGTCCCTATCTTCTTAAGGAAGTCAATTTTGATTTTTTCCGTATAAACCATTTTTCAATAGATGGTAAAGTTTTTTGTAGATTTTTAACTTTATGGCATTTTAATTTTTTTCTAACTATAAATAAATTCCCAAATTCTTTCTTTATGACAAAACAACTTTAACACTTTTATTAATTGTTTAATGATAATAACTCTATTACTAGAGATAAATTAGATTTATAATATTTTTTATTAAGAAGACGAAACTTCATCACAAGAACTTATATTATTTCACTTACCATTAATATTTATTTACAAGCGTTTTTTTCTATATATCCTTTAAACAATAGGAGTTTCTTTATTACGCTTCAAATTATGAGTACGTAGACAGTTGCGAATAATTTTATAAGATTTATATCTTATAAAATATATTTAATAATATATTTTATATATATATATATATATATAATAAGATAGTAAATATATCTCAATAAATTATATTATTAAATATTATATCTAAATAAAATTTATATTCTTTTTCTTCAATATCGTTTATCTACATATTAATAATCAAAAATTTTTTCGAAAGTATCTCTACAATTTGTTTATCTTTTTATTATTTTTTTTAATCACATCATTCCGACTAGTCATCAACATTTTTTATCAGATTGTTTCATCAAAGTACTTAGCTACCAGTTCGGATTCGGATTTATGAAAAAAATATTTTCACACTGTCGAGTTATATAGACAGATATTTAAAGTATTACCAAAGATTAAAAATCAAAAAGGAAAGCCTACGCATAGTCAGTTCTTATCTTATCGGATCTTAAGATCCTATTCAGCCAATTTTGAGAGCATGCTAAAGATGATCTAAAATATAAGAACGGACGAATGAATACTGGACTATCAAGATTTTAGAATAAGATGAGTAAAATATATATAAGTTTTCATTTTTTACATAAATAAAACAAAAACTTATTTACTTGAGGAAGCCGGCATCTTTGGTGGTGGAACTGGCATGTGCGGCATCTGTGACTCCTGATTTTGCATCCTTTCGTGATTGTTATTGTACAGTCATTGAAAAAGTTAGAGCGAGAGTCGGAATAGTTTTGACGCGCACACAATGGGATTTTTTCTCAAAGCCGGACGTTCACTTTTCGAGCGGTTACTCTTCCGCGTTTTACGGCATCACTTTCTGGCTCTGCGACGGCACGCTGTAGACTGATACCGGGGTTAAATGTGACTGACAGTCATCGTAGTCGAGACTTTTTGATGCCAAGCACCGATGCGATTTTGATCCCGCTATATGGAAAGCGTACCTCATTGGCCGAGGGCTTCCCTACCCTCGGTGAAGGGCGGATCTGACGAAAGGAGTGGTTCGCTCCTGACATGTCCGGGGGTTGAACGTCACCGCTATCGAGGCGATAGGGGGTTGCGTCATCATCCCCGCCACTGCGAGCACCACTTCGTGAGAGTCACCCTCGAAACGAAGGTGAGAAAGAAGGCAGCTTCCTCACACCCCGTATGGCATTGCGCATGGCAATCTTTTTTATGTACATTTGTATCCCTTATTAGTGACATTAATAATAGATATAATTATTGTTGGTAATTATGTGGCAAATAAACATTATGCTATGCCGTCCATTTTTCCATATATTCGATTGAGAAAATGTATATGAAATTCTCTAATCCACATTTTACGTTACAAGAAAAATTATTTAGGAATTTATAACATGTAGAAATAAGTAACTTAATAAAGAATAATTAATAATATTTTTTAGTATAATTTATTAATATATAGAATATACATGCTGATATCCGAATATCCGAAATTACGTAACTGTATTTGCGCACGCGCGCATGTGTGTATACGTGTTAGAGACACGCACATAAAAGTCTGTATTGAATATTTCCACAACGTCGTTAATAGTTCGTAATTCTGCGGTCGTAATTCTAAACGTCCTGTGTTTAGAACAGGAATTAAATCCCTCACTCTTGCGGCCGTTGAAATTCGTTGATGCGTGCGCCCAGAGGAGACTCAGGTAGAGGGTAGATTCTTGTTGAAGTTTCGCTATTCAATGCCAATGGAGATACGTGGAGGAGGTTAAACGGTAGTTGTGCATATACTTGGAATAATAGAGACGTGAGCAGATGCGCTGGGCCTGACTCTCTGACTCCATCTTGAATTATCTCATGCCCCCGATCCCTTCGAGTCTCACTCTCCCCAATCACAAATGTACACGTGTGTATGTATGTATGTATGTGCGCGCGCGAAAACAGGGTTGGGGCGTGAGCTGCTCTTGCAGTTGGTGAATTACGCCAGGAATCCGTCATAACCGATGTAATATCGCGGAGATTGGATCTCTCGATGGCATATCACGCTTCCCCTCGCCCGAAAGAGTCCTCGAGTTGATGCTATCTTTACAGATTACACCAGGTGTATTTTTATGACGCGTCGCAGCCAACAATACCGAGGCATTCACGGGGGGGTGTTTTGATAATCCTAATTAATCGCGCGCGTTATTAATCCTTTCAGATTCGAATCTATAAATATTGAAAAAAAAAAATTTGAATTCTTCTTTTTTGCATTAGAAAGCAAATTAAAAATTATAAAAATTGTTGTTAAAGACAAAGTCAGTTTTGTTGGCGTTATTTTAAATTATTGTAAAAAACTGAAAGAAAGATTCTCAACCATGTGTGGATTATTATTATTATTATTATATTTACCCCAATAATTACTAAATAAAATAATTGTAAATAATCAGAATCTAACAACGTTTGTAATTCTTTCTAATTATAAGTAGAATCTACACAATACATATCTACACAAATATTTGTGTAGATTTTTACAGCAGATTTCTGTAATCTTTTCTTAAATATTGACATTTCAGAGGATTCATGAACTTATGATAGAAAAAACTTCTAGTAGAAAAAAAAATTTGTAATAGAAACATATCCTATCTTTCGTTCGAGTTATACGCTTGCACCCTCGACTTGGCCACCATTGAGAGATAGGTCCAATGCGACCGAATGCTCGTTCGACCATGCGCCGTTTTGGCTTTGGTGCAATATGTCGGGATAAAAGATTATCTGCGTAACTGCCCCAGGGATATACGAAACCTGACAATGGTTGCGTCGCTTCTCTATTCTGTGCCGCGTTTATGGAGGGGGAAAAGTTTCGCGGGACATGAGTAAAAGATTCGGGTCGCTTTGTCAAGAAGGCAAACGTGTCCCTAAACGGCTGATAATGGAACCAAATCAAAATACAATTCTCTGCCGCGGTCATTGTAAAAGAGCTGATTCTACACTGCAAATAAACACAATAGTTTATCTCGAGAGGGACGATGTTGTTTTAAACCAATGCTTTTCTGATAAATCATCGATTCATGGTTCACAGAAATATAAGAAATATAAAGTTGAAATATGAGTTTTCAAGATAGAAACGATTATGACGTTACAGAATATCTATTAAACTCTCAAAAATAAATATAGAGAAAACTAAATGTGATGGAAAAAAATTTTGCAAATTGAAAATGTAAATTATGCAATAAAATGCGGTATGAAAGTAACATTTGAAAGTGGAAAATAAAATCTTAGATGAAACGATTGAAGCAACATTTAAATGTGACTTACAATTTAATCAGTCAGAAAGCAATCTGAGATGTACTGTTTATACGTAAAATGTGAGTGTATTGTTCTTTTTGTATATTATACATTTTTAGTACTAGTAGTGTATATCAAAATGCAAGCAAGTCATTCACTATTAGGTTCTGTTTTAATTTTTTTTCTATTGCGTTTACGTTTGAACTTTTTATTGCTTTCGCTTCTTCTATTTCAGGTAGAGACTAAGTAGAGTCATAAATGCTTAAAGCCAACTATAATATTTAGCTAAAATTTTATTTTCACATTTTCTCTCTGTTTTGTGGTTCGTTTGCGTGAATGCCGCCTGGTATAGAAAAAATTTTGTTCTGTTCGTTGTGAGATGAAAAGGTCCGATAGGTTTATTTTGAACCTGCATCGCCAATGAAACTGAAGAATTGTTATTAAGTCTCATTAAATCTCATTATTTTTATACAATTATTATTACTTCATTTTTAGAAATTTATTTCTACATGATTTTATAAAAATTTAAGAACAATTCGATTAAAATTATTTAATCAATGAAATTAAGAAACATTACAGTTTTATTTTTAAACTAAATAAGTTAAATTTTAAAATAATAGATTTAGTTGTAATAAACAGCTCTCTTTTATGATTTCCATTTTAAGTTCAAAAAAGTATTAATGTTATCAAAAGAATAAATAGAACATTCAAAAATACATTTTAAACTGTCAGAACAATGACTTCTTTGCTACTAAATCACATAATAAGGGATTTAGAGAGATTTCTAAATGTCATATTAGAGATGACTACTTCACAAAGAAGTCGAGGTAAGAAGCTATTGTTATTTATCCTCATTTTGACTTTAAGATGTCGAAATAATGTCAGCTTGCTACCTGAAAATTTATTTACAAAGAATAAGTACAGTTTAAAATTTTTATTATTCTTCACATTTGCTTATCTTATAGGAAATGAAAAATGAATGAAATCAATCAAACTTTCATTTACTATCTGCGACCTAAGTCTGCACAAATTGCGACTCTCTCTTTTCAATAACTATTTATATTCTTTATCTGCTTCTAATACCTAATTGATCCCTTACGCTCCTTTATTTTTTATATCATAAATTGTATATAAGATTATCATCATGTAGATAAATTCTCATTATAAAATAAATGTAACAAAAATTTTATATCATTTACTAATATTTTAAATTTAATAATTAATTTAATAATTGAAAAAGACTTATAAACAAGTACATTATTTTTTACAAAAATGCATGCAATTAATTCTAGAAAAGCCAAATATTGATTAAATTTTTATCATTTTGCTATTCCGGACTTTTAAATTTCAATTATATGCAAGGTTGTTTCATATATGATAAAGTGGTTTCATATATGATATGTTTTAATTGATTCTTAATGAGCTTAAATTATATGACACAGCGCGAAAAACATGAGATTAGGCAAATTAAAATTTGCATGACCGTACAAATTCGGAGACGTAACATAGTGATTAGAATAATGACGAAGCACCTACCTGTTGCTCTGCCTCCATCTAGATACCATCATACATCAGCAACGTTAGGATGGTAATATTATGGGAACTAACGAGCATATGGTCGGATCAATATCGCGTAAACGCGAACATTGGTGATGCCCCCGCGTTTTACCTGATCGTTGGGGGAGTAAAGCGGACGCTTTGACGATGAAACCATATGAAAATCTGCCATATGCGCGAGTTCGCGCTCCTGAGAACACTCAAGCCTCCAGTTAAACATAATTTGACATGGGAATCTCGCTATAAAAAGCGTGATGCGCGATAGTAGTTTTCCAAAAATTTCCTAGCGTGCAAGATGATTCACAATAATTTATTAAATTTATTTTAATTCCATTCTGAGATGAGATTACTGTTATAAGAATAAAAATTCATTTTTGTAGAAACAAAATAGAAATTTAGAATCAAACATATTCTTTTGAATCAGTCATAGATTTTCATCAAGATTTGCTAGTATAACAATGTGACGTAATACTGACCCGTCGACTTTTAACCCCTTCCGGCTGCCCGACGACTACGAAGTTTTCCATTATGGATAAAATGAGAACGCGAAGACGTCGACGTCCGTTAGTCGGCCGGAAGTTCAGTGTTATGAAAATCAGACGTCGGTTGGTCTGGTACCCGGCATACGTAACGAACTTTCCGATGTTTTCGCGTTCGCCTCGTGTTCTCAAAGTGGGCGGTACGGAGTGAAGCGACAAGTAGTTGCACCGACCAGTAGATCAGAAATCAGAGACGACGCACCTTGAGAAAGAAGAAGGAGCTTCTTGAAGAGTACCTTACAAGACGCGCATCCATCCTGGGCGGAGACATCCGGCCTCTGGTTACGCATTCATCTATGTGCGAGAGACTGCTTGTCGTTATATCAGAAGAAAAAAAAACAGAGAGAAAGAGTGAGAGAGAGAGAGAGAGAGAGAGAAAGAGAGAGAAAAATGATCGGGTGGGAACCGTTCGTTGGAACCAACTTGCAAAGGACTTTATGATGCAACGTATTTTTGGGAGTATTATTCTCGCTGTAGTTTGATTCCTTATGAAAGGATTATGTCTCATTGAAGCAAATCTAATGAAAAAAAAGAAATAAAAAATATAAGCTTCTGACATTTTTAACATTTTTCTTTGTATATTGTTAACTTACATTATTAACTTTTATTTATATTATTAATAATATCGCAAAAGATTATTTAGATTTTTCTTATTAGATTTTTATTTCTGAGCGATGCGATGGTTACTTTAACGTTTTTATCTTTTTGATTAATATTCATTATTATCC